GAACTGGCACTTACAATACGCTACCGGTTCTTGACTACGTTTTTTCGCACTAATGAACCTAACACGGACTATAAGTTTTTCTCGCACTAATGAAGAAATAAAACATACGTGTTATGTGAAGAATTCATCCGGTTTTTTATATACAGTTTATTGAGGTACTGCTTTAAACCATCTTAAAAATTCGTAGTACCTCAGAGTAATAAAACAAAAGTACCAACGGTAATAATAATACTACAGTACGAGAACTATACTAGTATTTTACTACATTTAAAATGTAGTTTTTTTGTTTTTTTTAAACACGTCGCACATTATTTATTGCCAATTTATGTAAATCTACATACAGAATAAATCATTTAATTTTACCTTCATACGAAGGTTTTGGCGTTATGCATTGATAACAATGTTTCCATGCAGAATTTTTTTATATTACTCATTAAATTATTGTGTTATCAACACCAAAATAAAATACGAAAAAGTTTACATCGTTTAAACACAATAGATTTACAATTTTAAATGAACAATGAAACAAACAGTTGAATAATCGGGCTAATAAATGTATTAGGCCTACAAAAAACTCATCATCAAACCTTTTACAAAACCTATATAAAATACAACCGTAAAAGTGTTAACATTGACTTGGATAATGATATATAAATAAATCCCCCATCTACCTAACCCAGCTGTACCCCTTCATTGAGGATATCAAGGATGGATGACTTCCAATCGTACTTATTCTTTCAAATACTACTATTTAAGCTGTTTTTAATTTCGTTTTTTAACTATGATAATTAAAGAAGGCATAAAAGATACGATGGTTTACAAAAATAGGTCTTTCATCGTTATAAAAGAGCAATATTTTCAACAAACCAACCATACCTGGTTCAATCAAGCTTGATGGTTTTCTGACATTGGCTTCAACTTCAACATGACATGGAATTTAATTTTTTGGATCTGCTTCACCCTAAACATCTCTAGAACGCGAACGTATCAAAACATATTACCAATTCAATAATTGCTCCTCGCTTCCAATCTGGCGACATCTGAACGTTTTCTCTTGAGCTCAGCGATGAGATGCAGCTCGATTTAATGGCTTAATGGCCAGTAATAACTCGCATCGATATATAATCTCCAGAGACAGGCTCGCGACACCTCAGGCGCGTTTATCCACTCATTTAACCGGTTGTAGGTCCGGAGCCGGGGTCCCGCAAGGCGGTAGAATGGGACCGCTCATCTTCCTGTGCCCTACTTCAAACGATCGCACTCGCTAGTTTAGTTCGAAGTTCAAAATGGACCAATGTAATATGACTAATGGTAAAATAGGACTAATAGTTTCAATTTCCACTATTTAGCAGGCGATTGTTAAGTGAAAATTAAATCTCAATACTGTACAATTTTATTTAATGCATTTACGTAGGTAGTTTTTTGTAAGTCTAAATTTACAAAAAGGGATAAAGATAAAAATATTTGTTATATTTCCGACTTTAAAATAAAGATATATTTATTTTATTTACAAAAATATCTGTTGTTTTAAAATTTTGTTATTGTCAAAATTAATTTTCTATCCTAACCTTTAAAATTATATTTGTATTTATTACGGCAAGAATATTTATAGGACTGACATTTAAATTAATACAATCACTTGTGTATTTATTAACTTCTATATGTTTTAATATCCATACGATTAATGGAATTAGTTTATTCTCAAAATTAATTTCCTAATAATTTTACTAAAAATTATATTGCTACTCTTTATATTGGTATTTATCGTTTTACTTATGCTCAAAATTTTCACAAAACAAGAATTAGTTGGCAAACAGTTAATTTTAAAATTAATTGTTTGCCAACTAATTCTTATCATATAAAGATATGTTAAAGAAAGATGCCATATTTTGTATGTTTAATGCACACAATGGTTCTAAGCAAGCAATATGTTTTTTTTTATACCGGAAAAGTTAATTTTAAATTAGAATCAAATCAAATTGTGACCTGAAATGTCGACGATCATTTTATTACAGTATTGAGAAATGTATCCTCTGGGCCGGCCGCCGGGAACACATAGGAACTGGAAGCAGCTAATTGCTTTACAACGTGAAAGAATGGACTCATTATAGCGGTTCTTGTGGCACTACAAGGGAAGAGGGACTTGAACCGGAACAAGACAACCGGAAGTGGCAGAACTGCGGTTGCGGGCCGGAAGTGGGTGTGAATATGCCGCTGTAGAGGCGTAATATTTCTCATAATTTTTGTCAAGATGAAAATTACTCTGTATTTCACTAAATTTTGTTTTTAACACATCACAGTCAGCGAACACAGAATAATTTTTTTATTATTTTATTTATTATTTGTTATTCTGTGTCCTGTGTTTGCTGATCACAGTATATTAAAATTTACGTCAACATTTGTTGAAAGGTAATTCAAGTTATTTTTTATAATTTAGTGTCTTTTTTCTGATTTTAATCACTTTTTCGGTCACATATTTTATTTCAATCTCCAATTTTTCAAAACATAGGCATAGGAGCCATCTGTAAATTCTACACAAAAATTCTAAAAAATATCAACAATATCTAAGTAAAAAACTATTATTTTCTGTACTTATAAAATGCTGCTTAAAGTCTGTTTTAAAATCATGTAAATTTAGCCCTACTAGAGTTAAAATTAAATTTGCTAAATATTAACATTAAGTATTTAATATGTATTAAAAATTTAATCATAATTTTTTCATAATGATAAAAAGTGCATACACATTCCTATTGTATACAATTCTAGTTTAAATTTGCATAAATTTAAAATATCATTGAAAAAAATTTCCAAAACAATCAAATACCATAATAGTTTATAAGATAATAAATTATATTACAGTACTTCACTATAGTAAGTCTCTATCAGTGATCCATAGTAATTTTTTTATTTAGAATTTACATGGGCATAAAAAATAGATTTACTTATTTTATAAAAAAAAATAGGCCTACTGGTTAAAGTAATTAATTGCGGATTCCCAAAATGTAGAAAATTATTAAAATTCTTAATATTTTATTTTCATAACCTTACACTGGAATTCAACAAACAACAATCACTCATTGTAGAGATTATTTATCTCATTATCAAGAGTTGTCATTGATATGCATGTGATTTCCTTTGAATATCATAATCTACAAGTGCTTCTGTACTCTACTGAAATTTATACAAATTAAATAATTACAGAAATTTATTCAGAATCATGCTCACTATATTGAAAATATATAGTAATATTAAATTACTGACTACAGTTTTAGTCATAAATTTATCATGCATTAAAAATGTGTCAAAGAATTGTTTGCATATTGCATAATAATTTTTAAATAAGTACGGATTTACTAATGTAATAATAAATGATACAGTGCATTATTGTTTATAAATAAACAAGACGCAATAAAATAAAAAATATTATTTGTTTCCAAACTAAAAAAAAATATTTCAATTACTTTTAAGAGAATATCTCTGTTTTAAAATCTGTTAATATATGACAACAATTTCACTAAAACAATAACTGTTGGTAGCCTACTTTTGAGCTGGAGTTTTCAGTGTATAACATTTTACAGTCGAGTTTCAGCAAAACAAATCTCTTGTCAACAATAAAAAGTACCATTCTCACTATTATGTGAAACTACATAATAATTAAAATTTAAATATATAATATTTTATATAATATATTTATATAATATTTTATATAACATATTTATATAATATTTTATATAATATATTTTATATTATATTATATATATATATATTTTAATGTAATAAAATTAATATTTAAAAAATTCAATATATTATATTGCATTTTTTAAATAATAATTTGTAACACAAATTCAATTCAGAAACCAAGTTTACTTTCGGGTTTACTTTTAGGGTTACTTTTGTCTGCCCTAGAGATAAATTAGAGCAAACCTTCGCCTTAAGTTCTTTGATATAAAATAAATTATGTTGAATATTTAAAAATCTGAATTGAATAACAGGTCAATTTTAAAACATGAAATACAATTACAGCCAAATCTAAACATGAGGGACCAGTGTCTGCCTTGCAGCCAAGCTTTCTTCTCTAATGCCCCTTCTTTAGTGCACTTTCTACTCATCAGTTCTCTTGCCCTTAATGAGGTCTTATTACAAATTATGAACCCACAATTGTTTACACTTAGGGCACTAGGTTAATTCATTGTCTGCAAGTAGGTATTAGTTTGTTGCGCTTTCTTATCTACCTGACCTTTATGGTTTATCAGATGAGTTTTAACAATCTGTGTGCATTATTTCAATGGTTGTTTTCAGCATGATTAAACTAAAAAGAAAAAATTTTCAATTAACAAATCTATTGCAGAAACGCATTAAGTAATTTGTTCATTAAGTTATAGGTATTTATCATAATATCTGTTAATATGCATTGTTCTCTTTTAACAGTGAAATAATAATTAATTTTTTGTAATCTTTTTAGAACGATATATTTTTTATGATCTTTCAAGAGCGAAATAATATTTTGTATATGTAATCTTTCAAGAGCAATGAGTAATAGTTTTTGAAAAGCTGTTCTGTATTACCTTGTTTTTAACCTTGCAATACTCGTAGAAAGGAATTAAACCATAAATTAGTTAAGCCTCAGAACATTTATGTTACATTACATAACTTCTTGATCAGCATTGTACATGTTATTAAATTTACGGAAAGTAAATAAAAGATACGTCTTATAACACTTAAAACATATATTTACGCTTATACTGTTACTCACAAGACGGTAAATATACAAACAAGATGGTAAGTGGTGATCGATTTCGATTGGACACTCCAATCATCATCAGACCCAATAGGCAAATGTCATTCTTTTGCAATCTGTGTATCAGAAATTATATACAAAAAAGCTTTTATTATTGTCTAAATAAGCTTTACTAGGTTTTTTAAAATCAAGTCCTATTTTTAGATGGAACCTAACCCTTGCAACACTAATAACTATTTTATTTGTAATGTTTTCAACGAACCTTGTTTGACAGACACATATCTGGAGTTGAGAGCTGCCACAAAGCTGGCCTGGGGGAGCGAGTCTTCGAGTGTGAACAGCTCGTCTTTCGTGACGGAGTTGGAGCGGGACTTGAGCACTGCTTTGCTTCCGATCGGAGACAAATACGCTGCACCGACATCTCTGAGCGCCAACTGACCACTGTGGTACTCCGCGGAGTAGAGACAGTTGGCGTTGCATTCGTCAACAAGTTTTCCCTCTCTGAAACAAGGCAATGCCATCAACAATTTGTAAAACACTTTTTTCTTTTACAATTATATTTTCCTCGTGCTTCCAAAAAATAAAAATCTAAAATGATTTTTTTAAACATTACTTATTTAAAGATTTTTTTTATTGGTGACATTAGATTCATTTTACAAGTACGTGCACACAAATTTGAAAAACATTGTTATTAATTTGGTTGTCAGACACTTAATAATATTAACTTCCTTTGAGGACGTTAAAGAAAAATGTAGTGAATCCGTAAGCCAAAACAGGGGATTTTCTGTTGTTAATAATTGATAAATATTGATTGTGTGTTTTCATAGAGTTTATTCATCACATTCATTAAAATACCAAGTTTTTTTTATTGTAATTATTTTTCTGTGTATTCATATTACTTTCTTTCATTTGATAATGATTGTAAACATTTGTTTTCAAACTGTTGATTTAGTATTTCCATGCCTTTAACACACATATCTATACCTTTTCTATGTGTTAACACTTCTTCAGAATTTTGACACAATGTTTTTAATGAGTGGTTTGACTCTAATCATGTGTTTTTACATTCATAATTACAATACTCGGCTTCAACCCACCTTGATAGGTATTTATTGTTGCAGGTGTGCAGTGCATATTTTCCTCCATCATCTACCCTGAACTCCAGTGTGAACAGGGTGTCCTCACCCCATGGGATGTTAGCGTCTACGTGGATTTCGTCCAAGTTCTCGGACAAATGGGCGAATCTCTTGCGGCCGACAGACCGGAGATTGACCTGCAACAATGCAGAAAACACTGTTAGAAACTATGAAGAAACAAAAACCTAATGGGGGTTTAAAAGTTTAAAAATATCCAGATTTCTTAGATAATGGAGCTTATGATAAGTAGTCATGGCTAAAAATTCAGCTGATCTTAGTCAGTAACACAGCTGTTATGATTCATTCAACAATAAATTGAATTAAATATAAAATTCAACTATAAAGATGTGCACAATGTAATGTTAAGCCTAGGATAACTATACAAGTGTTCAAGTTCCATTATCAGTTGTCGAGGCTAACCAATAATTGTAATCCCAAAGATATCTACATTATGCAACAAGCTGCTTTAGAACTTTAGTTAAAGCTTGGTTGGAGAACTTGATGTGAAATTCTGATTGTTTCATTTACAGACTTATTTCTCTTAGAACCATTTTTTGCACTTTTTTTAATAACTTTAAAATAAATTTAAATAAATGTATTGGCAGATGCAGTGTTTATTATTGCCAAACATTTTGAAAACAACCATAAATGATTAAGGTCTGGAAAAGACTGATGTAATGCATATATTGTAAAATTTGCACAAAATGTAATTAAACTATCAACATGTGAACAATAATTCTACATTACTCTCACAAGCAGAAAGACCGTTTAGTAGATTTGTAAGAAATCTGGTATTCAGCCAGGAAACTATTACATGTAAGCAACAATATATTCTAGCCTGTGTTTATCTAAGACCACCTGACTGCATAGCTCTACAGCTGGTGTCATTACAAACACAACTAACAGCTGTTTATTTACCCACGTCAGCTGTTTGTAAGCAATCATTTATACAAGTGATGCTGGTTAAAAGCTAAATTATTCAACTTGCAGCTTGAACATTTGACATGAACTTAATGTTTATTTGTTTTAATTTTTTTCAATCATTTGGTTTAGTTTGATTGTAAAACAAAATTTAAATTAGGTATCAATTAATTTTTATTTTAAAGGTGACCCATAGGAATATTATTATATATTTTTTATTATTTTAGTTCTTTGTAACTTTTGTCTTTTACCCATCAAACTGTTGGATATCAAACATTTTAATTTTTTAATTGCTGGTGTCAAGAGGATATCTGTTTTATCTATTTAATTTTCGTACGCTTAAATAATTAAACAAATAGAATTAAAACCAAGAGAAGGTAAGCATTTTTGCCATAAACCTAGTTTTATTTACCAACACGTTGTATTTTAACAATAAATGCAGGTGATTTAGGCAATTGCATTTAAAAAGAACCCTTGAAATAGCAAGAACAAGCAAATCTCTGAAATTCCATAGCAAAAGTAAGCGGACTATTTTGAAAAGAATGGGAGGAAGTGCAAGTGGAAAGAGGGAGGAAGTTGGGAAAAAAGGAAATATTTTCAAGCCATAAAGTTGACCTTTACACTAAGTATTAGGTATTATTTTATCCCTTCTCGGCCATCTCACCTGAGGTCTGGCAGCTAGATGCACCAGCCACAGTTCTGGTTGCCCAGGGGCCTTTGCTGTACAGATCAGCTTATCACTAGACGCCCCGAGGTAGTAGCCCCTAACACAGTTCTTCAAAGCCCATCTTCCCGGCTCTGGAACATTGATCAGGAACTTGCACCCTGGTTCTTTTTCTTCACTTTCACAAGTTACATTCCCAAAAGTGTCGACGGCAAGGTACTTTCCAAGGTGTGATTTCAGGTAGATAGCGTTTGGTTCTCCTCCAGCTGGTTCTAAAGTCCAAATTTGCTTTTTTTTCAAGGAAGCGCCGTTGGCGTTTATCTGGAATGAATTTTAAGAGTTATTTTTGACGTGAGTCCCATTTGGTATACAGTACTTATCAGTTTTTAAATATTTTTTTTCTACTTACAAATTTTGTATGTGTAAAAATGTTAGCACTAAATTTTTGTCACTAAAAACTAAGAGTTTCTGATGAATTCAATTATTTACACTATTTAATAAAAATTAATTTTAAACGTAATTAAAATTGTCTATTAAAGTTAGTTTAGTTTATTTCATTAATTTCTTTTATTTGTAACAAAATTAATTATAAAAAAATATTATTCCCTTTTTGAACATATTATGTACATATTTAAAACAAAATTTGTCCCAATTACAACTCAAAATATATGACCTATTTCCAAAACACATTTATGGTTTTTAATCAAATTAGTTAGGAAGCATTGATTTCATGCGCACAAAAGTATAAAAAGGCTGTTTAATTTAAATGCAATTTTTATTCAGGTTTCGTAAGCTTGAACCAAACAACTGTTTTGAACTGAAACAACAATTATTTAATAAAATTTGATTGGAGAATCCACAGTAAAATGCATTTTGAAAACGGACAAAGACAAAAGATGCTGTTAGATAGTTTGTCAAGCGGAAATTGTAAACTTTGAATCGCTTTGGAAAACCAATCAAAAATTAAATTTAAGGTTAGTTAAGACTTACTCAAAAATAAAATACAAGGCACCAAACGATCACATTTCATTCTGTAAGATTACAGCCAATAAAAATGTGTTAAAAATAAAAACTTAATTTTTCACACTAAAAATACTTACTATAACTGAACCCAAACGGGAGTTTTGATCAAAAGTCTAACAAAAAAATAACTAAATTATACTCTAAAAATGTATATAGCCCAAAAATACACTACCCAATTGTTGATCAAAAGTGTTTCAATAGTAAATATTTCAGTTAGAAAAATACTAAGACAGCAGAGGTTTTTGTTAAATAAAAACAAATAAACTTTTATACCAGTCATGTTTTAAACGAACAAATATAATGTTTTCTCTATGGTATTCATTTACTTAAGGAATAAACGATAAGGACTAAACAAATTCAATTCATGTCAAATTACATACGATTTCCATGAAATATAAGACCCTAAATAATGCATTGTTTTAGAACGTAACGTTTCACTAAATTACAGTAATTGTTAAAGTTTAAAGTATTGCAATTTAATATAATAGATCTACTTTTGCTATAACCTACTAATATCATTTTACATGGATTGTGTACAACAGTAGCCTGTATTCAAATTAGTCTTTTTCTAAACCTGTGTACACTACAACGGATATATACTGTAGCCTACTAACTAAATATTTAACTAACCTACTCAAAAATAAAAAACATATTATCCTGCAACTGCAAGAAAATGTCTCATAAAAAGATGTTTTTATTTACATTATTATTGATATGCAAAATAACGTTGTGTTTCTGAAAACACAAAATTTTACAATACTGTATTTTGAAAAAGGCAGTGTAATATTTTTTATACTAACCTTAAAACCGAATGTTTCTGCTGTGAGATATTTGAACTGACAGTTTATCAGTCCTATTGTCCAAACTCCTTTGGTACCATTGGACAACTCTCCATTCTCGTGATGGCCGTTCATTCCATTCACCCCGTTCATCCTGAAGATCCGATCTGTAACAAGAGTCGTTCATTAAGAGTCGTTCTTAGATTTGAATCTTATCTTGAAAGTCAAAGGTTTTTCCCTAGTTACCTGACAAAGTGGACTTCCTTGCACTGATTATATGCGCCAAGTAGCTAATTGTTTCACTTTTGCCGCGCACCAGTATTCCAACCAAACAACACAAAACAGTGTGCTTTTATTAGGCACGTAATATGTGTACGCTTGAAAATAAGTTGGCAACACTTCAAAAAATATGTACTACTACTACGATCAGCTGGTGCAGCGTTTCTCATTTCGTTCAATGCTTGGATTTAACCTAACCTAAAAACGTGTTGTATAGTGTTTGAAATACTAATTATTTATATGCTTTATAGTAACTGTAGGAAAAATACCATAATGTGTAACGCGAGTGCAAAGTTCCTTTGCTGCACTCGAGTTACACAAATAACTATTTCAGAATCTGGAGATTTTTGGTAGTTAAGAGGATCAATATTTGGTGTTTGATTTTGACCGATGTTGAAGGATGTCGTACCTTGGGAGGTTGTCATAATTGAAAGGGGTAGACTAAAAGAGGGAAGCTTTTAAATGATGAATTTTTTGGACGCCTGGAACAGGTAATATCTAAGAATCTCTAAAAAGTTTTTATTATTGGGGTTTTCCTTGAAAACAGACATTTTTTAACTACTGTAGTTCAATAATAGCATTATTTTGGAAGCAGAACAATTGTCTACACTTGAATACACTGATCATTGTAACATAAGGTTACATAATCAAGAGAATGGCATACCAATGTTTAATGGTGTTATGTTTTATTCAGTAAGCCACGTAGCAACGTTCAGCACGCCATATTTACATTTCACTTCTCAATTTATGTCACAAAACGTCTGATCAAGTCCCAAAATATTGTTTTATAAACTAATTATACTGACTGAGTCAGTGTTAATAACGTACTGAATACATATATAATTTTTGTTTGGGACGGAAATATATTGTTAGTTAAATACAGACCTTGAAATCTTTGTATACAAAGTCACCTTTGTCGCCTAAGTCAGCCCTGAAGATCTATAATGTTCTACCAGACGATGTGACAGATCTGAACACGAAGGTTTTTAAGATACGACTGAAGGAGTACTTGGTCAAGAGGCCGCTCTACTCTGTTCAAGAATTAGGCCTACAAGATGGGACACCAATATTTGGGCAGTAAATAGCCCCAAAACTTCTTAGCATTCTATCCAAATTTCATTGGTCAACGACGAAGGTATTACAAGTAATTAAGTATTATTATTATTATTATTATATTCAACAACAAAATTTTACATAAACATAAACATAAACAAAATTACATTATTCAAGCGAATTTTACATAAACCACAAAAAAGCGAACTAGGATTGTAAAGCAACATAATACAGTTATTAGCCTACTATACAGGGTGAATAAAAAGTAAAGACCCCCCCCCCCCCCTCTAATATTTTTCCAAATAAATACAGTATACAGAGATATCCTTTGGTGGTTGTGCAATCTTAGCAGGAAGTTTCATTTTATGATTTTGAAATTTTTGAGTGTCAATTATCAATCAATTATCAATTCCCCCAAAAGGAGGGATTTGAAGGGTAACTCAAATATTTTAATAGTAAACCCCCTTCAAGTGACACCTCATTTTGAAGTGTTTACAAAAACTTAAAGAATGGTGAAAACTAGAGGTCACTATCTCTTCTCTAACCAAAATAGTAGCCAATATTACCATTACGAACCAATTTTACCATTGATTTTCTACAACATTTGACGGGCTACCATTTTGGATAGAGAAGAGATAGCGACCTCTAGTTTTCACCATTCCTTAAGTTTTTGTAAACACTTCAAAATGAGGTGTCACTTGAAGGGGGTTTACATTTAAAATATTTGAGTTACTCCCCAAATCCCCCCTTTTGGGGGGACACTCAAAAATTTCAAATCATAAAATTAAACTTCCTGCTAAGCTTGCACGACCACCAAAAGGATATCTCTGTATATTTAATGGGGAAAATATTAAAGGGGGGGGGGGTCTTGACTTTTTATTCACCCTGTATATAGGGATGGAAGTGATTGAACTTTTCAAGAACTTCTGATCTCTCTTGAGCACTCACAAATAACCATAAATTTGTCATAGAAGTCAGGTGCCATCCCTTAACATATTATATGAAACTCAATTGCAAATAATAGTTCCTTTGACATAGATATTATAAACACATTAAATAATATACAATATACTTTTACAGTATTTAGTAGCTAAGGAACACAGATCTTAAAACCATAACAAATAGTGTACATATCTTGAGTTTTAAACTTTAAAGGCCAATGGGGCAGAGCCCTGATGGAATTTCTTCAAAACACATCTTATTGCACACCTAGAACTTAATTGGATTGGAAACTCCATTCCAATTCCTTACTTATGGCTTGTACTTTTTGAGATAGTGATCAGTGAGTCAGTGAGTGGTGTTCGCCGCCTTGGTGAGCATTTTTTCGTACAAAAACGCAGTGTACTATCGGTTCAATATCGAGATACTAAGTATCGATATTATTTCGGATCAAATGGGTTTGTTGTGCCTTTTATACACTGTGAAAAAAATACCAACAGCTGTTACAATTTCTATCGTATCATTTTCGTTTACCCTCTGCCATATCAACAAGGTCAAATGTCGAAGATAATATCAAAACAAACGCATTAGGCCTATCAGTTTCAATATTTATTTTAGATCATTTTCAACACTGACCAAGATAGGATGTCTTCTAACAACTTTTAGTTTGATTAACAGTGAACTTATTTGATGTTTGATAGATAAATCAAATTTGTCTGGATTGTATCGTTAACATTTTGACATTATTTTTGAGGTTACAAATAGTTACTTTGTGTTTAGGGTATCCTATTTGGTTTTCAATCGCAACAATTATTATTGTTATACGCTATAGGCTTAACATTATATCTTAAGTTCGTATGAAATGAGAATTTCCAATCATGCTATTTAAACGCAACTATTCAATTTTTACCAAAATATGGATGTGAGGTGAGATTCCTTGTGTACGATTTTTACTGACTAAGATCTGCTGTTTCATAAGTCAGGGCCAATAATTATAAACACAATGATCAAGGCGGGCCAGGACCAATTTCAAACCACCAAAAAGCTAGTCTTTCCCCAGGTTTGATCCGCTAGTCTTATGATTTCTAGCAAACACTTAAATCAGTTGTATCATAGACAAATAAAATTCAAAATTTAGACCGACATCAGTGCTGCGGCTAACACAAGTTCTGGCGTCCACCGCTTGGAGTGCCGTATAACGGTGCACGCGCTACTTAACTACTCGGCACTCCAAACGGTGGACGCCAGACCTTATGTTAACCACAGCACTGCTGTCGGTCTATATTTAATTCTATTTGTCTATGGTTGTATGGATGTTGAATTCTGTAGGTACATTTTGATAAATATTTTACTAGTTAACTAAAATAGTATGCACAACATTACACTATTTATCACACACTTTCTGCGTACGTACAATCTCTAAAAAATAAAAATAATCATAGGGTCACTTCTCTAAATATTTAAATCGTGTAAAAAGTGTGGTGTAACTAATTAGGTGAAACATGCAATTTCACTAGAACATTCCTTGGCGTTTAAATACATGATTGTTTTCACAACGTTAACCTGGAACCTACTAATTTGCATTTCTGTAGAAAGCGAACTTCGACCGTTTTTTAACTTGTGAGAGAGTGTTTAAAGTCCACTTTTGCTTCATTAGTAACAAATTGTGATTGCTTGTTTCGAGTCGTTCGTAGTTCTCGTCCGGTGGGATTTTCTTTAGAAGTGGGAATAAAAAACAAAATAGTTCTTGTAGAAAAGCATAACGATAATTAGCTTATTCGCTATAGGTCTTCGAGCCTTCTAAGGTTCTTGTTTGAATTTACAAATTGATAATTTCATCTATTTTTATATCGGTTATGGATAGTAGACATTCTGTCCTAATGTGAAAAATGTGTCCAGTTCTAGAATGAAAGTTAAAAAATAACTCATACCAATATTGTAGCCAGACCAAACTAAAGGGGCAAATATGATACCAAACTATAGAATATTTGATGCCATGTCAACTCTTTATAGTATCAAAAACTATGAGAAAATAAACAGTTGGCAGTGGCATGCCACGTGAGAGGCTTATTCATTTAGGTTCTATATAATCCTTGTGCGAAGTCAGTGTACAGTTTGCACAATGTTAGTAATTTTTGTTTAGACCGGCCAAAAGTATTAAATTTTAAAAGTTTTGTGTAAATATAAATATTTCGTGTGACAGCGTGTCTATACTACATGTGGAATGCAACGACCAATGCTTTTAACAGAAGATTTGACAATGGGGCTGATTGTCCCGAAACTATAGTCATCATAAAAAGACGACTAGTATTAAATACGTAAAAAGGTATTATTAGTAGAAAATATTGTATATACAGTACATAAACATTATATACGGGTAAATCTCAATAGCATTGGTTGAAATGCATTTCACAACAACTTACTCTACTAAACCAAATTATTCCCAAACAGAAATCCTGGTACAATAATTATTGAACATAATTGATACCAACCCAAAAGAACCCCTTTTATGACTCACATCAGACAACTCTGTTGAGACGGGTCAGCTGGCGCGATAACAGCTGTAAATAACTGTTATCAACTTCCGTCGTCTGCTAGAGGGGGACAGGGCGACCAACAACACCACTTGTATCAGGGTGGTTCAGACTAGGGTGGCATTGGTGCTTTTTAAATTAAAGAGTTTAAAAATTTAATTATTCGATATTTGAGGTAATGTTTTATGGGATGCTAATATAGCTTTCAAGTTAGGTATTAAATTTATTTAAAATGCTATTCACATAAAAAACAGTTAACGTAATTGTAAATAAATATTTTAATATTCAATGCGTATTAGTTCAATTTTGGTTTTTATTTTATATGTATATATTAAATTTATTTTATGTCATTTATTAACTAA